GCTCCATCTCTACAAGCCTCTCTCTTTTGTTAAGGTAACTAAATAAAAAAAATAAAAAAATAAAAAAAAATAAAATTTATCTAATTTATATTTTTAAAATACAGATCAAAAAATAATAAATAATTTTTTATAATTAATTCATAATAAAAAATTATAAAAATTAAAATATATTTTAATTAATATTTTATAATACAATATAACCTAAATTATAAAATATTTATTTGATATCTAAACTATAAAATATTTTTTTAAAAATAAAACATTACACTCGTTAATTTTCTACGGAAATGAGTACGTAAAAAATAACATCCATAATCACGCTAAATTCAGTGGACTTTGCTTTTTGCTAATTTTTATAGTGGGGTATTTTTTTTAAGAATTCTTATTATGTAGCAATTAGATAGGAGAGATCCTTAACATTATTAAATAAACTATAAAACAAAAATAGTTAAATGGAAAAGTGCTTCCAATATCAAAGGACTTCTCATCCAACGATTTTTTTTTTTTTTTTTTTGTGTAATTTGATGCGGTTTATTTATTAGATGACAAAATAGAGATGGCCCCAATATCAAGGCTCTTCGTCTTACAGTTTCTATTATATAATTTATTATAATTTAAACTACACAATAATTTTTTATTTTTTAAATAATATATGAAATGATTGATTAATATAAGTATAATCTAATTTAGTTGATTTATGTATCTTATATACGTAATTATATCTTTAAATTTATTTATTTATTTTTAATTTTATATTAAAAAATAATAATTTTTTAATAAATATATTATGCAATATATTAAATCAAATGTATACTAATAATTTTCTAACTAATAAAGAAAACAATTCAAAGGCTTAAGCAGTCCAATAATGATCTCATTTATACTAAAGTAAGAGATACTAACTTCAACAATAATAGTGGTGGTGGGCTAGATAAAGAGATGATAGAAAATGACCTTCACTTGCACAACTTAAGAAATATGTAAAAAATGTATAATGATTGGTATATATTTCAGTTTAATATATTACATAATATATTTATTAAAAAAAATATTATGTCTTACTCTAAAATTAAAGGTAAATAAATTTAAGGATGCAACAATGCAAACAAGATGCAAGAATTAATTGATTCAGTTCTATTTATATATTATATTTTTAATGTCTGAATTAGATACATGTCAAAAAGTGTGTCAAACTAAATGTATACCAATCATTTCCAAGAAAAGAAGAAAGAAAAGTTAAGGCATCTTAGTATTTTTAATGCAAACGTCTAATAATAATCACGTGATGATGTGACAAAACTAAGACTCACACTGTATCTAAAATATTTAATTACAATGATTAAATCTCGTAACATTTTTAATATCTAGATATCTTATTTTTTTTCTTTTCTAAAAGGAATAAAAAAGAAAAAGAGAAACAATTTAACCCCTTGTGATTTGGACTTGTGCATATAAAAATTTGAGTTTTTAAAATATGCACAAAACATACTAGTAATTTTGGCATGTACACATAAATACATAAAATTTTAAAATGTACATATAAATACTTAGAGTTTACATTAAAAGCAAATAAATACTTTGAATTTCTTGGAATATTTTGAAGGCCCGTAATTTAAAATTAAAAAAAAAGGAAAATAAAATTATTTAAGACATATTATGTAATCTTTGGTAGTTAATGGGTGTAGTTATTACTCCCCACAATTTTGTTAAGGCTATCTACAACTTGTTTAGCTTGTTTGAAATTTTGGCTATTTGTACTTTTTTTAAATAATTGATTATAATGTCTAAAATATTAATTTATACACTAATTTTAATTAATATATTAAATAATAATTATTAATTATTTTTAATAATTAAATTAAATGAATTTAATAAAATACTAGAGGGAAAAAACATAAGAGAGAGAGGTAGAGAGAGAGTGAGAGGGAAACGTGACGGACATCGTTCGCGGGCAAGATGGATGACACTGAATCAAGAGCATATAGGAACCCGTGGAAGAAGCTAACCAAGGAGGGATGAGGTAGGGGGACAGGGGTAAGTGCAAAATGGGCAACATCAGGTTCGGAGGATGCAGAAAGAAGGAGGGTAGGATGAGGGGTTATACAAACAAGCCACACCCTATTTCTTTACCAATTTTCTGGAGGATTGGAGTAATGCAGATATGTGGAGAACCTTCTTGAAATTTGGAAGGGTTTATGATATCTACATCCCAAATAGGAAAAGCATGAATGGAAGTAGGTTTGGCTTTGTGGGATTTCTAGAGGTTAAAGACAAGAAGGAGCTGGAAACAAAACTAGATCAGATTTGGGTAGAAGGTCAAAAATTATGGGTAAATCGCCCAAGATATGATGATGAAAAGAATGAAATCAAAGAAAGAAGAAACAGTGTTGAGGTGGTAACAAAAGCCCAAAACAAAAGCTATGCTGAGGTGTTGAAAGGAACGCAAGAAAGAAGAACAGAAGAGAATTGGAATACACAGAGTAAAAAAGACTAGAGGAGACAAGAAAGAAATAGATCCAGAACTAAAACCAGGGTCGAGCATGGACAAACAGAAACCAAGAAAATATGGAAAGAGAGAGGAAAGGGAGGACAATGGGCAAGAATGGAATTTAACATCAAACCAAAAGATTATGCATGGCTAGATGGTTGTTTTGTGGGTACAATGCACTCTATTGAGATGGTTCAAAATTTATAAGAAAAATTTTTATGGAAGGATACTTCTCATGTCAAATCTGGGCAATGAGAGGCAGATTGGTGTTGCTAGACTGTGAGGATAAAGAGGAATTGAAGGATCTAGTGGAGATGGCTTCAGATTGGTTGGGGCAATGGTTCGAAGAGGTACACCCATGGACACCAAAATTGGTTGCCAATGAGAGGTTTGTATGGATTAGATGTCAGGGAGCACCATTGAATGTCTAGGGAACTGATTTCTTTTCAAATATGAGTTGCTCATAGGGGAAATTTATTTGCTTAGATGATAACACAAGCAAGAAAAAGAGATTCGACATTTCTAGATTCTTAATATCCACTCTGATTATGAATACAATATCAATCATAAGACAAATCAAGATTAATGGGACCATATACAGTGTTAAATTTCTAGAGGAAGAGTTTACTAATTCTTTCTTCTCTTTAAAGCAAGACTTCATGCTCTTATTTCAAAGTGACCCAAAGGAATGTGTAGCTTGGTCGAGTAGGAATGAAACAGAGGAGCAGGAACTTGAAAATATAGGGGATGAGAAACAAGTCAATACACGATGGTCACATGAAGAAAATGAAGATGATGACGTGTCTAGTAGAAGGAAAGAGAAGAGTAGAAGGCTTCCGAGAGAAGCTAGACAAGAAGAACAAAAACCGATAGAAAAGGTGGGAAACAACCTGGAACAATTTGAAAATTTGATTGATGTAGATAAAAGAGTAGGGGTAGGGATGGCAGAACAGACAAATGAGGACTTAGAATTGTCAATGTGGCTTCTTGAAGAAGATGGGGAAGTAACGGGCCATAAGGAGAAGTCCAATGTCCAACCGAGTATAAAGCCCATCAAACAAGGTGAAAGACTAGAGTTTGAGGAGTCCACAAATGTGGGTTTGGCCCAAGCAAGTATATTGGTAAAAAACCCAAAACCAGATGGCAAAGAGGACATTTATTGAAAAAATAAAGCTGTAGATGTGAGCATTGAAATAAAAGATGAAGATCAATTCTGTAAAGGATACGAAGATGTGAGGGATCGACTACAAGAATGGATCAGTAAGCTAGAGAGGGAAAATTCTAAAAAGAAAAGAAGAAGAATTAGAAGCTGCAGTTTGTTATACATGAAAACAAGTGCTGCGTGTGTAGGATCCAAAAGAAATAGAGGAAGAGGAAAACAGAACATGCAACCAACAGAGAAGAAAGCAACATCAGAATTCCTATTGAGCCCAAATGGAAAAATTGCAGAGGATTCAATTGATGACAGTGGAATCCAGAATTGCAACAGATCTCTGAAGAAAAAGATGCAAAATCAATTGGCAAAGGAGACATGGGACCTTGCAAAGCAATTGGGAGCAGTAGCAGAGGATGAGGATGACATAATTGGAAGGATTGAGGAGATGGAGAATAGAGACACACTAGCAAAAACAACCATGGAAAACCAAGGTGTGAATGGCTAGAGGAAATTACGTCAAGATCCCAATGATAATACTGTCTTTTAATATAAAAGGACTTGGAAGGGCCGAGAAAAAAAAGACAGATTAGAGAACTAGTGATGAAAGAAAAAGTAGAATTTTTAGTAATTTAGGAGACTAAGATGGAGACAGTTGATAAAGGTGTATGTAGAAAAATTTGGGGGATAGAGGATCTAGATTTGGTCTCAAAACAATCTATTGGCATGTCTGGTGGATTATTGTGTGTCTGGAATCCTAAAGTGTTTAGGAAGAGGGAGGTACTGGAGGGGGGTAATTTTATTGGAGTGTTTGGAGTATGGGGTGAGGAGAAAACACCAGTGTACATAGTGAATATATATTCTTCTTGCCAATTGATGGGCAATAGAGCTCTATGGGAGGAGTTGCGAAGATTGATCATGAGTAGAAAGGGGAATTGGTGTTTAGCGGGGGATTTAATGTCGTGAGAAGAGTAGAGGAACGAGCAAGGAGTATCAGAATAACCAGAGAAATGAAGGAGTTTGATGAATTTATACATAGCACTGGAGTGATTAACTTGCCTTTGGTGGGTAGAAAATACACTTGGTACAATTCCAATGGACAATATATGAGCAGAATTGATAGATTTTTGTTATTAGAAGAGTGGATTACAAAATGGAGTGATGTAAAACAGTGGGGGCTAAAGAGAACAGTGTCAGATCACTGGCCTGTATTATTGAAGAATGAGATAGTACATTGGGGCCCAAAACCATTTAAATTCTTTGATGCTTGGCTTGAACAACGAGGGCGCAAGGAGGTAATAAGAGATATATGGAACTCCATGGAAGTAAATGGGTGGAATGGCTATAAGCTCAAGGAAAAATTGAAAAGAACAAAGAAAGCCTTAAAGGACTAGAGTAGTGAATCGATTAAATAAGTGGACAACAAAATAAAGGAAGTTGAAACTGTGATAACGATAGTGGATGAGAAAGGGGAGAATAACCAATTGTCTGAAAATGATGTTGAGAAGAGGAGAAACAATTTCATTGATTTGTGGAAAAATATAAGAATCAAGGAGAGGATGTGGTAACAAAAGTCAAGAAGATGTGGTTAAAAGAAGGCGATGCAAACACAAAGTTCTTTCATAGATGTGTGAAAGGAAGATGGAGAAGAAATGAAATTAATTCTATCCAAATTAAAGGTGAATAGCACACTGGTGGAGATCAAAGAAGAGGTTGCTAAGTATTTCTAAGAACTGTTCACAAAAGAAAATTGGCGGAGACCAAAACTAGATGGGATTAATTTTAAACAAGTATCACACACAGATAATGAGCACCTCACAACTGTATTCTCCAAAAAAGAAATTAAAGAAGCAATCTGGGATTATGACTCCTTCAAAGCTCCAGGCCTGGACGGATTCAATTTCAAATTCATAAAGGCCATGTGGGAAGACATAAAATCTTATGTTATTGACTTTGTACAAGAATTTTAGAAACATGGTAGGCTCGTCAGAGGATCAAATGCCTCATTTATTGTTTTAATTCCAAAGGTTGAAAACCCTAAAGAATTGAAGAATACAGACCCATCTCACACATTGGGGTCATGTATAAGATCATTGCAAAACTGCTAGCAAACCAGATGAAGACGGTGTTACCCAAGGTAATTGGGGAGCAACAAATGGCATGTATTGAGGGTAGACAACTAGTGGATAGAGTGGTGATAGCAAATGAAGTTATTGATGAGGTTAAAAGGAAGAAAAAGAAATGTTTTCTCTTCAAAGTAGGCTTCGAGAAAGCATATGACAAGGTATGCTGAGATTTTATTGATTATATGTTGATGAGGAAGGGATTTAATGTAAATTGGAGGAAATTGATACAGGAGTGTCTAATATCAAGCTTGGTTTCTATTCTCATTAATGGCAGCCCAACGAAGCAATTCTCGGTTAGTAAAAGGATACGACAAGGTGACCCGTTATCACCATTCTTATTCTTGATTGTGGCAAAAGGTTTGAATGGTCTAGTGGCCTTTGCAGTGGAAAAGAACTTATATAAGGGAGTGATGGTTGGGAGTGGAGGTGATAGGGTGACACACTTACAGTTTGCGGATGATACCATACTCTTTGGAGAGGCAACGAATGACAACATTTGGATAGTCAAGGGTATTATGAGGACTTTTGAGCTGGCTTTAGTTCTGAAGATCAATTTTGGGAAGAGCCAATTAATGGGGGTAAAGGCAAAGGAGAGTTGGAGAGATAAGATGGCATACAGATTGTATTACAAAGTAGGGGAACTCCTATTCAAATATTTGGGAATTCCTGTTGGTGGGAACAACAGAAGGTTAGCAATGTGGCAACCAATGGTGGAATCCTTTAAAAAGAAGCTATCCAACTGGAAGGGTCGGCATCTTTCCTTGGGAGGTCGTATCACACTCATCAATTCAGTGTTATTAAGTTTACCCGTGTTCCTGATGTCAGTCTACTTAATCCCAAAAGGTATACTCCATTCCATTGATAAAATTCGTAGACATTTTTTATGGGGTAGGGGAAGGGAAGAAAGAAAAATAAATTGGGTAAGCTAAGAGAAGGTGTGTAAAAAAAAGAGAGGAAAGAGGGCTGGGGGTGAGGGATTTGAGGAAGTTTAACTTGGCTTTGATGGGAAAATGGTGGGGAAGACTAGCAAAACGACAAGAGGGATTATGGAAGAAAATTATTGTTGGAAACTATGGTAAAGGGGGGAGACATTGGCTGGACTGGATTATGGAAAGTAGAGGAGTGGGCTCATTATAGTGGAGAGATGTGTGCTCACTCAATAATATGGATATGGAGAGTGTAGGATGGCTGATGGAGGGATTTAGGATAAAGGTGGGAGAGGGAAGTACAGTTAGATTTTGGTGGGATAATTGGGCCGAGGAGGGGTGTCTTGCTAACAAATTTCCTAGGTTGTATCTTGTATCAACAGGAAAGGAAAATACATGCAACCAAATGGGCAATACAAGAAACAGATCATAGGAATGGAAGCTATCATGGAGAAGAAATTTGTTCAATTGGGAAGGTGAGGAGGTCACAAAACTACAGAATATGATTGAGGACGTGAAGATATCCCAAGGATGTCCTGATAATGGGAGTGGGTTCACGACAAAGATGACTTGTACTCAACTAAAACAGCATACTCACTATTAACAAGGGAACAAAGGAGATCAAATGGAACTACAATCTACAAAAGACTATGGAATTCTATTCTACCGAGCAAAATATCAGCATTCAACTGGCAACTATTAGTAGATAGAATACCAACTAAGGTGAACTTGTTAAGAAAAGGGATTATTAAAGACATGGGAGAATGCAAGTGTGATATGTGTGATGAAGAAGAAGAGGATACTATCCATATATTCTTAAAATGAAAGATTGCTTGGTGGTTGCGAGAGGCTTGTACTAAGTGGTGGAAGGCCAAGGTAACATTGGAAAGTGATTGTTGGAAGACATTTGAAGTCTTTGGGGAATGGAACAAAGATCCAAGTATCAGAGAAGGGTGGGACTGCATTTGGAATGCAGTTGTCTGGACAGTGCGGACTACTTGAAATCAAAAGGAATTCCAGGACAAAGAGATCAATCTAGGGAAACTACTTGAGCTCATACAAATGAGGTCTTATTTATGAATCAAAACAAAGAAAGATAGGTATGCCTTCACTTTATCATATTGGCTAATTAACCCTGTTGCATGTATGAAAGATAACTGTGGGGAAACGATGAATGCTAGGGGATAAGTCAGATTGACAGGATTGATTTTGTAAAGGATGCTTGAATAGTGTATAATGGACTGAGTACTCCTTGTACTCATTTTATTAATTAAAGTTCTAATTTGCTGTTAAAAAAATAAAATAATAAATAATCATAATCATATTCACTTTCACATACCTAACACAAATATCAAATATTTCTATGTATATTTTAAAATTTTGGCTCTTTATAAGCCCCAACTCTATTCTATATTTATATTATATATGCTTTTTAAAATCTAAGTCTTTCACAACTCCCGACCATACGGGTGGCTAAATTGTAATTTAAAATTTTAAAAAATAAAACCAATAAAATCACTCGCCTGACTCCAACCCTATTTTTTATCTCCTCTTCTAGAGAACCGCTCTCCTTCCCAGATATAAAACCAAATTACACCCTCTTCCGATCCATTTCCTCCTCCGCCGTCTTTCCGCCTATATCACGGCCAATCAATCCTCTCCACGTGCCAAAAATCCTCTACAAACATCACCTCATGCACTAGTTCCGGCGCCACACTGACTCCACAAACATAAACCTTCATTTCCAATCGTGGATCGACGGCATGGCAAGCGGCCACTCCCACCGCAAACATCGGAGGAGAAAAAAGAAGAACACGATTCTGCCGCCTTCCCTACTGTTTATTCCCCGTACACTCAGCCCGATTCCGCAGAGTTATCTGCAGTAGTCTCAGCTCTAACTCAAGCCATGGGAAGCGGAAGCGACATCCAGCAGACGGTGGCGGTAAAAGAAGAACCGCCATCATCAGACGCGTCTCAACCTTCTCCACAAGATCAAGGTACTCCCTAACTAAATTGATGCATCGTTTTGGTAGTAAGATTCGTATGCCCATCCTTCTATTAAACTACTGACCCAGCTGTTCCGTATAATGGTCCATAACTAGGGTGTAGGTATTAATTCTTCTTCTTCTTTTTTTTTTTTGTGTTTGGGAGATTAGATTAAGAACTGTTTTCTAAGGATTTATCGTCAAAGGATTTCCTGATTTTGCTACCGTTTTGTCTGTCTCCTTGTCAAAATTGTCTTGATTCAACTCTGTCGTTTTCTCTTTTTCTTTTCGGTCAGGAATTCCTCTTGGAGGAATTCAGACTTATTATTTAGGATGAGGAAAAGTTCAATGAATTCCAGCACTTTCCGTGAACTAGTTTCCTTCCTTTTTTTTTTTTT